GTGCTGCTGATCTCTGATCAGGTTCAGCTCCCTGAAGGAAAGCAGAACCACCACACTGACATCTTGGTTCTCCAAGCCCTCTGCCCAGTCCAGAGTGAACTTCTGCGCTGAGAAGGTTTTTCCAACACCAGCAACGCCGTTGGTCAGAACCACTCTGATGGCTCCATATTGGTCAGGGACGGCTTTAAAGATGTCATGGCACCTGATTGGAGAACCATGGAAGTTCTGGATCTTGGAAGCTCTCTCCAGCTGCTTCACCTCATGTTGGGTATTAACCTCTTCACTCTGTCCCTCTGTGATGTAGATATCAGTGTAGATCCTGTTGAGGAGGGTTCTACTTCCTGTTTCATCACTTCCTTCAGCCACATGTTCACATCTCCTCCTCAGACTGATCTGATGTTCCTCTAGAACCTTCTGCACACCTGCATCTGCTGAAACACAGAAGAAAAGACGACTGAAGGAAAAAAAATGATTTAGAGATGAAGTTGGAACCAAACCATCTGGAACATCAGGAGTTATCATTAGAAGGTCTCTTCCTTAACTTGATCTGATGCTAAACGATCTGATTCGTCCTCAGAACCAGAACATTGTTCAATTGTCAGACAGCATCTTTCTGCCTCTGTTTTGTGTTCAGTATCTGTTCACTGTCAGGATTTGATTCCCAAAGCAGAGAAGATGAAGAAATGCTGACAGAAACCAGCAGCAGCTTTCAGCAACATCAACTCCTTAGCATCATGTCACCATTGTCCTCATTGGACCGGTTCTATTGGACCTTCTGCCACAAACACAGCAGCTCCAGAAGAGGCAGAGAGAAAGAAAAAGGTTTCTTCAGCATTTTCCTGCATTAATGAAGGAAAATAGAGAAAATGCTCTAATCTAGCAGAACAACTGTCATGGTCCATGTTCTGTGTTTCTTTGTTTTCCCTGTTCTCCCTCTGATTGGTTTCTCCATCCTTCATTTATCCAGCTGTCCTTAGTTCTGTAATTACCCCTGCATGCCTTTAAGTTCCTGTTTGTTCCCTGTGGCAGTCTTATATATGTCTTAACCTCGTCGTCTCGTGGTGTTCCTGGTTCAGACTGTGTCTATTAAACCGACCTTTCTTCTAAGAGGAGGTGTCCTGCATCTCATCTGGATCCTGTTCCTCACCTGTTCTACGCCGAGCTCATTGGAGCAGCTAGTGTTCACATTTAAATGGCATTTCTCTCTCAGAGACTGGATTGGATGTTTTTAAAGAATAATTACAGACTGGAAATGACATGGGACTGATTTGGTTTTTTAGAAGATTGTTAGAATGATTCCATGGTGTAAATAGAAATATCTATCCTGTAATCAGTGATCTATTTTCATAGGAAATCCTGGTTTCTGTCTCTTAGACTTTCCTTCCTTCTTCTTGGAAAAGCAGCAGGTTGCTTTCTGCACCTTTTTGTTTTCATGCATCAAAATGACCTCCAGTTTTTAGGAGAGGTTCAGTTTTAATGCATTTAGCCTAAAGGACTGAAAACAGAACCAGTTCAGCAAACCCAATAGGTTGTTGGGTTGAACACAGACGGTTCATTTACAGCATCTGGAAATACAGAGATTTAGTTGGAATAATTGATCCCAGAAAGACTTTGAAAAGCTTCAGTCTCCAAATCCAACTAAAGACGTGGAATTGGTTCAACAGAGACGATAGAAGGAAGCTCTGTTTGGAGATGTTCAGTCTTACCTGCTGCACAGCTGCTCTGATTGGCTGTCAGCGGTCCAGCTCCGGTTCTGGCTCTTTTCCCACACTGGGGGGAGTAGGAGGATCCTGATGAAGCAGACTGGACCCTGTAGGACCTGAAGCACTGTCTGCAGAACCGGTGTCCACAGCTGGTAGAGACTGGATCCATCAGGAGGTTCTGGCATAAAGTGCAGCAGTTCAGCTGCTCCTCCTCAGTAACGTTGATCCTCTTCGTCTGTCTGTGGAGACATTTCTCCATCACTGAAATAGATCACTACCAACACGGTGGGGCTGTTCTTACTGAAGCTGAAGATTATCATGAAGGTCCACCACAGAGAGGACCAGAAGCTGGGTCAGAACAGAACCTCAGAACATTGATGATGTCTGAAATGAACTATTCTATTCTATTCTATTCTATTCTATTCTATTCTATTCTATTCTATTCTACTCTATTCTGTTGTTGTTATAATCTATTAGGGATGGACCCTAACAGTGACGTTTCTGCAGATGAAGATTTCATACATACAGCTTACAGATTACTTAATGTTCATTTTTCTTCCTCCTCCATCCCTGATGTCTCCTCTTAACCTCATATTAGATTCTGCTTTTCCAGCTCTGAAACTTTCTGTCCTTAGAACCAGTATAAACAGCAGCAATGGCTGCAGATATAACCAATATTTATCATTCTGGGAAATAAGCCCAAGAAAACTAAATATTAAGCACAAGATGAAGAATAAAGCCTAACAATATTAAACATGCTAACATCCAAAGCCAACTATAGGACATGACATCAAATAGAGTTCAGCATATTTGAAGCTATTTGGACATAATTAGTAGTTTAATCTCTTAAAACCCACTGACACCAAAAGATCAAAGCCTCAAAGCCCCACAGCTCTGGAACAGTTATAGCTAGAGGTCTGAAATTTTCTGCAAGTGTGGTTGACAGGATGTAGAACAAATATAATTCAATAAAACCTGCTTTTTCTCAATATTGTCTTTATTACTGCTGTTCAAAAAAGGCTGATCATTTCCAAGATTAAGAAAACCCACAACTTTGAGTCATGTATGAACTAATGCAGGTTGGTCTGTGTTCTAGTCACCAAATTTTAATTTATATATTAGGAAACTAGAGGCTGTTAGCTTTTAAATAATTTATTGCACATGTAATTTGGGGTTACAGTTCCTAAGATGTTTGCTTTTCCAATGGTTATGCTAAATAGGTGATGATTACCCAATATGAGGTGGATGTTAAGAGGTTAAAACGCTGCCAAGGTGTTTTGGAGGCAAAATCTAACAATCAATCAATAAAACTTAATTTATAGAGGAACTTTTCTTGTCCTCTTCAAACGGCTTCTCTGGGTTAATAAAAACACTGATATTAATAAAGAAAACTCTGCTGTAGGTCCAGCAGATCATGACTGAATCAGTCAGATTCATCAGAGAGGATAACTTTGTTTAGCTCCTCTTCTCTTCATCCTTGTCACTATGAGGGCAATTCGAAATCCAAACTAGTTGTGCTTTGATCTGTCCTGTAGAGCAGGAAGCTGATTTTATCCAGTCTAAACTCTGAGGAACATGTTGTGTTGGTTCCACAGCTGATAGTGAACAGAGTCTGACTGTTAGATCAGTGAATCCCAGCAACAGAATCCAGTTGAGTTTATAGGATTGTTTGGTGGCTGGACAGTTCTCCATCACTGAACCTCCTCCTGAAGTACTCCTCCTCCTGGGTGTTGGTGAAGCCCTGTACTTCTGTTACCATTGAAACGCAGAAAGGACGGATCCGACTGGCCATCGCAGGTCGGGAAGTTAACCAGACGAGAACCGAGGGAAGCAGGTCTGTAATGTTTAAACACGATTATAGCATCGAGTAGCAGAGGACTCACCTTAGATCTGCTGCTCCAGGATCATTCCTGAACCATAGAGGAGGATCTTTGGACCGGTCACTCTTCATAGAAACACAGCTGGGTGATGGAGACCCTGCTCTGTTCTCCTCTGTGTTCCTCCACATGTTCCTCTGTGTGTTCCAGCCTGAATCCCATCTAAGAAGGAAATAATGACTCTTAGTTAACATGTGGTTCAGTCCCAGTTTCAGAAATTCACTTTTCTGTTTGTGCTTTTGCTGCTTTGCTTATCTTATTTTTACTTTGTATTTGTTCTCTGCAGTGTTGTTTCTGACAGCCATCTTAGATTTAGTCTTAGTTTTAGTCTTCAGGACAAAAATTATTAT